GAAGAATTATGCGACTGAATGTGGAAATTGGGTATAAGCTATACTGCGAAGGCTAGATGGGTTCTGGGCTGGCTTTGGGTTTAGAAATTAGATCATCTTCTCAAATTTCTCAAGTGTCTTCACCCTTTGCATAGATCTAGCCAGCAGTGTGAAAAAGACTCCTGCACAATACAAAAGCTTTGATGAATGCAATCTTCAAAATTTAAAGATGAAGAAAATGAAGCCGAAGGTATATCTTTATATCAAGGTTTCTTGAGTAACAGGATCACCTGCACCGATGAACGATCCATTTGCGATAGCTTGACTCCCTTGACTGCTCAAAGTGACCCCAAGGTTAAGCAGGGTACCTCCTAAGACTGTATACATCGTCGCCATTTGTAGTATTGTCGCTTTTCGAGCAGCTCTTTCTGACTGTCAAATGTAGTTTTCTCATTTTAAATTAAACTAGTACTTTTAGATGTAAACGAATGGGAAGATTTGGAGTGCTAAGAAGAGTACTTAAAAGTTCAAACTGAAAAATGAAACATCAAGAATATTTTTTTCTAAAAAGTAGTCAAAAATGAATACCTCAAGCACCCGGACTCGGAGTTTCAGATCCCCTGACTCAAGTTCTTTCACAAACTCCTCTATTCGCTGAACTCTGTATGGCATGGACATGGTGTAGCTTCTGGCCTAATAGTACATACACAAACACACTTAGTGCCAATACTGATATATTTTTCTTGAATAGAAATCAAACTACGAAATTTTATTTTCTTAGTGGAAACTAGAACATGGAACTAAGCAAGGGAAGAAAGTTAAGTTGCCGTACATCATCGGCTTGTTTCCTTATTTCGTTCACAAGCTGTGTCCCAGTACGCTGCGTCTGTCTTAAATCTAAAAGTTCCTGCATAAAGTGTATATATCAGCAATATTCTACCAAACCATTGACAAGGCAAACGCAAGATTGCTATGCACAAAGTGGTAAAATATTATAATTGTTTGGAACATGTATGGAACCTGGGCATAAGGTGCAGCAATCTTCACAAACGAGAAATCTGGATCAAGAGCATAGCCTATACCTGAAACAAAGATTGCTAGTGAGAATAAAGCAGAAACACCAAGATAACTCTGCTTATCAGATCAAATCTTTGGGCTGCAAAGAAAATTCATTTTAACTAGGAGAATATAGAATCAAGATTTGAAAGTTCTAATATTGTTCCAGCGAATAGGGAGAGCTCTACTTCTAGAATATTAGGATTATTGTAACTGACAAACAAATATAACATTTAGAAACTTCCTCTGAGTCTACAACACAATGTTGAATGTACTTAGGATGATGTACCTAAAATCTAAACTGGCTGTGACGCGAGAGAAAGAGAGAGAGAGTACCTTCCAGGGTTGAGAATGCCCTTAGGACAAAAGTAAATGCGGATGGAAACCGAAATGGTTGATCTTGTGCTATTGCAAATAAATCCTGCCATTAAGAAAAGCCCCATCGCCAACTTTAGATCATAAAAGGGTTATTCAGAATG